AGGTGACTTAGATCTGAAGACTCCAGTCGGTCCATGGACTTTGAAGGATGTCCGGGTAATTCCAAGTCTGAAGAAACAATTGATTTCTGTTGGGCAGTTGGATGAACAGGGACACGAGGTTAAGTTCAGGAATGGGCAGTGGAAGGTTGTCAAAGGAAATATTGTGATAGCTCGTGGACATAAGAGGGGTTCATTATATATGGTCAGTTTACCGTCTGAGGGAGTAACCGTCCCAGTTCAGAAGAAAAACAAAATCCGGTTCATAGAGTCTCGTGGACAGAAGAAGGTTTGCTTTGCAGATGGCAAACCCAGAGTCACAGGTCAGATTCAGGTTGAACGTGTTTGGAACGGTTCAGAAAAACCAGTCAAGGGAATTCATAGCAGTGGGAGCATGGGCTTTGTTTCAGCTAGAATACCCAGAACACAGTGGGTTAAGAGAACCAGTATTCCATCTGTAAAAGTCTCTCCAGATTATCTGCTTCACATGGAGAGTGTCGTTTGTTCTCAGGATGTTCCAGGATCGGGCAGTTCATTTCAGTGGGAGCCGGTGGAGACAGAGAACAGGTAAATTGAAGAGAAGGCCAGGGTAACTACGAAGGAGTTAAGATCAAATACAGATGCACAGTTGAAGCACAGGTGAAGATTGTTCCGTGGCTTCAAGTGGGAGATTGTTGAATGTGAAGCCACAGCTGGTCAAAAATGGCAGGAACAATGTGAAGTTGTGAAGCCACAATTGTTGAATGTGAAGTTTTTTCAAAGGTTGGCTGAAGACCCGGTTGTGTTTTTTGACTACTTCTGATTTCCATCTCTATATAAGAGATTCATCTGTATTTGTAAAACTTGTATCTAGTGTAACAAAGAAAGAGTGCAGATTAGCACCAAGAAATGTAAATTCCTAGTTACCGGTGGACGTAGGTCAGAGAAGGACCGAACCACGTTAAATCCCTCATGTTCATCCTTGTGTTCTTGTTTTTCGTGAGCTGTGTGTGTGTTTAGAGTCGTGTGTTAAGTGTCTCGATCCTAACACTTAACACACGACTCTAAACACACACACACAGCTCACGAAAAACAAGAACACAAGGATGAACATGAGGGATTTAACGTGGTTCGGTCCTTCTCTGACCTACGTCCACCGGTAACTAGGAATTTACATTTCTTGGTGCTAATCTGCACTCTTTCTGTGTTACACTAGATACAAGTTTTACAAATACAGAATAATCTCTTATATAGAGATGGAAATCAGAAGTAGTCAAAAAACACAACTGGGTCTTCATTCAACAATTGTGGCTTCACAACTTCACATTGTTCCTGCCATTTTTGACCAGCTTTTCTGTGGATTCACACTCAACATTTCTGTGGATTCACACTCAACATTTCTGTGGATTCATACTCAACAATCTCCCACTTGAAGCCACGGAACAATCTTCACCTGTGCTTCAACTGTGCATCTGTATTTGATCTTAACTCCTTCCTAGTTACCCTGGCCTTCTCTTCAATTAACCTGAAGGCCAGTTGAAGCTTTCGTTAGCTCCAACGCATCAGTCATGGCTAAGTCTGCCACTGACCTGTTCTCTGTCTCCACCGGCTCCCACTGAAATGAACTGCCCGATCCTGGAACATCCTGAGAACAAACGACACTCTCCATGTGAAGCAGATAATCTGGAGAGACTTTTACAGATGGAATACTGGTTCTCTTAACCCACTGTGTTCTGGGTATTCTAGCTGAAACAAAGCCCATGCTCCCACTGCTATGAATGCCCTTGACTGGTTTTTCTGAACCGTTCCAAACACGTTCAACCTGAATCTGACCTGTGACTCTGGGTTTGCCATCTGCAAAGCAAACCTTCTTCTGTCCACGAGACTCTATGAACCGGATTTTGTTTTTCTTCTGAACTGGGACGGTTACTCCCTCAGACGGTAAACTAACCATATATAATGAACCCCTCTTATGTCCACGAACGATCACAAGATTTCCTTTGACAACCTTCCACTGCCCATTCCTGAACTTAACCTCGTGTCCCTGTTCATCCAACTGCCCAACAGAAATCAACTGTTTCTTCAGACTTGGAATTACCCGGACATCCTTCAAAGTCCATGGACCGACTGGAGTCTTCAGATCTAAGTCACCTATGCTCGTCACATCAAGAACCTCATCGTTCGCCAGTCTTACCTTACCAAAATCCCCTTCTTTCAGATTCCGCAGTGCTTCACGGCTGTGGGTAGCGTGAAATGAAGCACCCGAATCCATAACCCAAGAATCCACATTGCTCTCCACACTACATATCAAAACATCATCATCTGAATGGTCTACTGCAACGTTAACTTCTTTCTTGTCTTTTGGACATTGATTCTTGAAATGTCCAACCTCTTTACAGTTCCAACAAGTCACATCATTTCGAGTCCTCGACTGACTCTTTCTCCTGTTCCCGCTCCCACTACCTCTGTTATTTCTTCTACCTCTGACCGCATTCAATTGTTCACTTGATGATTCCCCGGAATTTCTTCGTCTGACGTCTTCGCCTAGAATTAAATCCCGAATTCCCTCAAAAGTGAGCTCTTTCGATCCTGCGGAACTAGTAACGGCTGTAACTGTTCCGGACCAACTGTCAGGTAATGATGATAACAGTAGTAAAGCTTGAACTTCGTCCTCAAATTTTATTCCCACTGACCCAAGTCTGGATAAAATCGAGTTCAAATTGTTGATGTGTACTGTAACTGAACTTCATTCCCTCATCCTCGTGTTGACTAGTTCCCGAATCAGGAAGACTTTATTTGCTGCCGACGGCTTCTCGTACATATTAGACAATGCCTCCATGATTCCCTTTGCCGAGGTCTCCTTCAAAATATTGAAGGCAACATCCTTTGACAACGTCAGTCTAATAAATGCCTTGGCCTTCTTATCCAAAGTCTCCCAGTTTGCCTGTGTCATCGCCTCCGGGTTTTTCACCTAAAACTGCGTCCAAGTCTTTCTGTACGAGCAAATCTTCAATTTGCATCTTCCACCAACCAAAATCTTTCCCATCAAACTTCTCAATCTGAAGCTTACTCCTTTCTGCCATTTTCTGAAAGAACAATGACCTATCTTGCAATTTTCTAGAAATTCAGGGGCCAAATTGCAAATTTTCAAATCTGCTACAGTGTTGCTACAGTGCCTGCTACAGTGTCTGCGACATCACTGCTGACGTCGTGCTACAGTTCCTGCTACAGTGTCGTCTTCTCCGGCGGACTGCTACAGTGTCTGGTGCTACAGTGTCATCTTCTCCGGCGAACTGGTTTTCCCGGTCACTATTCCGGCAAACCTTTGACCGGCGATTTGGACGTCTTCCGGTGTTCAAAAAATTCAGAAAAAAATATTTTCGGAATCTTCGGAACGAGACCTTTCCAACGGTATACACCAAAATCGTTTTTGACGAAAAATAAATTTCGACCAAAAACTTAAAATCACCTTCTGGAGCTACAACCTTGCTCTGATACCACTTGTTAGGATCGAGACACTTAACACACGACTCTAAACACACACACAGCTCACGAAAAACAAGAACACAAAGATGAACATGAGGGATTTAACGTGGTTCGGTCCTTCTCTGACCTACGTCCACCGGTAACTAGGAATTTACATTTCTTGGTGCTAATCTGCACTCTTTCTGTGTTACACTAGATACAAGTTTTACAAATACAGAATAATCTCTTATATAGAGATGGAAATCAGAAGTAGTCAAAAAACACAACTGGGTCTTCATTCAACAATTGTGGCTTCACAACTTCACATTGTTCCTGCCATTTTTGACCAGCTTTTCTGTGGATTCACACTCAACATTTCTGTGGATTCACACTCAACATTTCTGTGGATTCATACTCAACAGTTGAAAAGATTAGTGAAAAATCTTGGAGCTTTACTTTAAGATGTGACTGATGGAGTCTTGTATATTTTTTGTATTTTTACCTTAACCGGATCCTCAGAGATATCAGATCTCGGATCCTAAACATCCACATTAAGCTCTCAAGCTGCATAACTGTTTGTATTTTGTCCCCTACGACGGACTCTCGTGCGTAGTTTATGCTTTTTGTGTGTGGAAGAGAATTAGTTTCCCATTTACAAGTTACAACAAAGTTCATTTGATTGTTTTATGATAGACAAGTGTGAGATATTGAGTGATACCTATTTTTGTTCCCTGTATATGGTGGTGGGAACTTGATATGTGTCATCTTTAAGGTGATGCCAAAGCAACCAGGATTCAAGAATAGGGGAGATGTTTATCCTCTATGGTATTACTTTAACCATCATAAATATTTGAGCATTACTCAACAACATGACATAAACTAAACAGAAAAGAAAAAATCATAACGCTTCTTCAGTACTGGAACTCTTTGCCATAAAAACTTCATCATGGGTGAATACTGAGCTGCAAATGATAAGACAAGGAATAAAAAATACTATTAGTGGGCGTTCAAAATTTAAGATATAAAATGCAACTCAAAAAAAGAAAGACATGCCAAAGTACATACATATGCCATTCTTTTTAAGCAAATGAGTAGATACTAAGCCTGACCACTGCCAGTTCCAATTATAGCCACACTATTCCCTATATCTACAAACAACAGATATATAGCACATTAGTATTTATCTGCAGAAAATAATAGCATAGCATATCAGTATTCATTTACAAACATGAAAAACACACCATTTGGTAGCACTCAATTACATCCATTCAAGACTCGAATAACATTTATCTAAAAACACCAAAAGTATTACTAGAGTCAGATAAAGATGTAGAAGGACAGTTGATTTGTTTCAAAAAAGCATATATAGATTGTATTATTTACAAACATCAAAAGTTTGTTTAAGTCAGTTTCATGAACATCCATAAGTTGGAAAAAGTATCACAAAAACATGATGATAAAAAAGGTCATCTTACCACATCACAAGCAAGAACTTGTGGCGAAGTGGTTGCGTTTGATATATTTAGGAATTGCATTTTGGTTTATACATATCTCTCTATTTACACAGCTTTATAATCTAAAAAGACTAAACGTGCTTCCCGTGGCGCTTTGTGTTTAAGCGTTTCTTTATTTAACCCCGTGCACTTAACGAAGTTTATAACTCGGATAGATGACATGTTGGTTAACCATATAGGCAATTCTCGCATTCCGAACTCCGTTATGTGTAACTCAGTGAGTGAAGTGAGGTGTTTTATCTCTTCTGGTATCGACTCCCAATGAACCCAACCATACAAGTAAAATGATCGAAGGTGGTTCCTCAACTTCTCAATGCCTTGGAGACTTGGGAAAGAATGGAGCTCCTTTGAGAATGGACCAAGTGTCAACCTGTTTAAGAAGGAAAAACAGTCGAATAATTTACAAGGCAAGGAAGTCAGTTTCTTGCAATTGACAATGCTCAGAGCCTTTAAAGGATGATGCTCGAAGTTCTGCATATAGGGGATTTCTAAAAGACTAGGACAATCCCGAATGCTTAAAAACTCGAGAGATGTAAGGCCTTGTATACTCTTAATGGACACCAGATTGTAGCAGTCGTATATGTCTAAGGAAACAAGAGGGTGGGGATGACATTCATCTAAGTGAATAATCTTTCGGCAATGTTTAATGTGCAACTTCTCGAGAACGGGTGATAACACTGTTGAGCTGGTTGTTGCTGCATCTATCCACTTTTCCAGTCTTCTCATGTGTGATAGTTGGAGGGATCTCAACGATGGAGACAGAGGCTTCATTGATCCAGTACTAAAATTGTCACCTTGGCCTAAACAACTGCTTAAGCATGTCATGTTGTCCATATCCTCCAACTCAAGATCCCGAAGAAGTGGTAGGTGCTCGAGCACTGGAAGATAGGCGCAGCTGCTACATCCAGATAATTCGATCTTCACAAGCTTGTGAAGGGGTGTCCATTTCCCTTCAATGTTGGTTGCCATCTTAGTCACCCATTCCGGAAAACTGTCATTGTAAAAGTTTATAATTGACAAGCTTCGTAAATTTCCATGGGGTTGCAGGCCTTCCAATACATCTTTGTCATTTTGATTGACAACTCTGTGCTCACTCCAACGAAAATAAACCTGGCATAAATTTTTCTTTCCACATATATCTGCCTTGGCAGCATCTTCTTTGCCGCTAATATTTTCGAGATTGCTAATATGAAGCTCTCCAGCAAGGTGCTTCAAAGGACCTAGCTCTGAAATATGACATCTTTTCTCTCGACCCACTCTAAAATCAGGCAATGTTCTTAGAGAAGTCAATCGTCCCACGTTACGTATGGGCTTGTGCCCTAGAAGTATCAAATATCCTGTATACATCAAATGTCGCAGACTTATCAACTTGCTTATGCTTTGAGGCAATTGCTTTAGAAAACAGCCAGACAGCTTCAGAGTTTGCAAATGGTAAAGTTTACCAATAGATTTCGGAAGAACTTTGATTTTGGTATATGACAAATCAAGATACCTAAGATGCACCAACTCTCCAACTGAATCATTGATCTTTTTCAGTGCACATGCCCTGAATTTTAGTACCCTCAAGCACTTGAAACGTTGCAATGAAATGTTTTTCTCAATTGTACCCCTGAATATCAATGTATGCATAGTCCTATTTGTCATATCCTCTTTGAAGACTATAGAATTCATCTTTCTAAAAGTTAGGTAGATACCATCCTCCTGAAATCGACACATTGCGAGATGTTTAACCCGAGGGATACGTGCAATATCATCATCACTTGTTGGATCCACCAAACATAAGTTTTCATGTTTGGAAAGTGATAACGAAAGATCATGCACCAGATCATGCATACAACCAGTGACATAACCATACTCATCCATTTTAACATCTTGGAACAACGAGCTGCTAACCAAGATTTGGAATATATCATTTCCCACATCCTCTGCCTCCTTGTTTCTCCTCTCATCCGCTTGAACCAACCCTACAGCCATCCATAGTCGTATAAGTTCTTCCCTTCGCATGACCTTATCCTTCTTAAACATGCAACAATATGCAAAGCATTGTTTAATGATAGAACTGGGCAAGTTATCAAAGCTGAGTTTCAAGCTATTTTGGACTCTGTCCCCTTCATCTTCTAGATCCCAAACTTTGCTATCTTGGATGGACAACCACTTCTCTTTGTCAGTATTGTAATTTCGCAACATGCCTCCTATTATGTTTACCAACAAAGGCAAACCACGACACTTTTTCACAATTTCATGCCCTATCTCCTCCAATTCTGGCAATGGTGATCGGCCTGCAAGAAAGGCTCTTTCTCTAAAGATGGACCAACACCAATCATCGGAAAGAGTTTGCAAAGCATGGAAATCCTCACTCATGGCCTTGGTTCCGATTCCAAGATTCCGTGTAGTGACAAGAATGCCACTTCCACTCTCTGCATTTACTTTTAGCATACAACTCCTGAAATCATCCCAATGTGCCCGCTCTTCGTCCCACACATCATCTAGGACAAGCAAATATCTTTTAGATCCCAACTTGTTTCGAAGATCTGTAATTAAATTGACCCTCATTTGTGACTTACATTCCTCTCTGGCAAGAGATTCATAGATCTTTGCAAGAAGAGTGTTAACATCAACCTTAACCGACACACAAAGCCAAGCTCGAACATCAAAATGATGCTCGATTTTTGGATTATTGTAGATTGACTTGGCCAAAGTGGTTTTCCCAACCCCGCCCATTCCCACAATGGGAACAATAGTAAGTGTTTCTTCTTTTCTTGATTGGGTTAAAAGTTGTATGATACGCAGTTCATCATTTTCCCTCCCAAAAATTTTGAATTCCTCGTCCAAATATGGATCGGTCTCCCGATTGAGAGTATCTGGAACAGGGCCAGCAGGTTGTTCATTTTGTAGTCCCAAATCGTTTGCTTGTTTATTGATCTCAACCAACTTTCTACAAATGTTTTCGATTTTATGTCCCATTTCTCTACGAAATGCAAACCTTTTCAACCATGGAGGAGACGGCATCATACCTCGTTTCTTCACCTCACGCCTCAACATTTCATAATGAATCTCGTCCAACACATCATCGGCTTCATTGACCACATGTGTGAGCTGTTTCAGCCACACCATCACTGCCTCTGTTCCCTTTTGTCTCTCTGCATCACGTAACTTGGCACGAATCAGGTCCAAGGTAGCGTGAAGGGTGGTCAGCTTTTCTTCGTAACCCCAAGCAATCGCAATTTCGGCAGCAGCTAAAGACAATACCTTTTTCAGTATCGCTTCGGCAGTCATACTGACTAAAGCTTGAGCCATTTTTACTGTTCTGTGTGAGAGAGAAGGAAAGAAAGAAGCCAATATGTGATTCTCAGGAGGGAGATTTCAGCAGTGGAAAGGAAACCAATAATGCAATCGATCCAAAACCAAAAGTATCAACTAAAGTATCAAGCATCAAGTATCTAGTAAAGCAAAAGCAAGCATCAAGCAAAGCAAAAGCAAGGTTTGGGGTTTTTGTCTTATGGGTTTGATGTTAGTAATGTTTAGAATTTCGATATGTTGTGTTATTACAGATTGTGTGTAAATAACCAAAAAAACCCATGGGATGCATGACCAAGTCACACTTGGACTTCGTTGTTAATTTAAAATTATTTTCGACTGATATTGCAATAACTGAAACTATTCGACTAAAACATTAAATTTGAGCAACACACAAGGACGGATTTTGTAATTTTCTAATTAGAGTTTAATTTTGTATTTTAAATATATAAAGATGCAATAAAAACGTGTACCATGTCCTCCATGGACGGCACCACCGTTGATTAAAGTCGAACTTCTCTGTATTAGCTTTTGTTAGATATGGAGATGGCGGCGGACCTGGTGACGGCTTTGGAGAAGGCAACCCTAATGGCAAAGCAGCTTCCACCAACCGCCACCGCCACCGCCACAGGCTCTGGAAATATCTACGCCTCCCTCCACGCTGCTCACCGCCAGCTCTCTCTCTTCCTCGCTCACACCGCACAACCCTCTGTGGATGTAACTGATGGTGATGATGCGCTGATGGAAGTTGCCGACGAAGAGCAACAAGTGGTTGATGGAGCGAGGGAGGAGGATTCGAAGATGACTTTGATTGATTTGGTGGAGGAACGGATGAAAATTTGCTTTGTTCAGAAGAACAAGCGGCCAAAACGGCCGTTATCGCCGACGTCGTTGGCCGCTGGGGAGAAGAGGCGGTGGTTGGAGTACGAAAGTGAATCGGCTAGGGCTGAAGTTGATTACGATCCTCATTTTTAACGAAATTGAGGGCTTTAGATCTAATCTATCAGTTCCATTGTTGAATCCAGAACAGTTTAGGATGTTAGGTTAGATTGGATACCGATTATTACCGATGCATTACTTTTACCATAAAAAGTTATTTCCCGATGAATTACTTCTATACCATAAAAAGTTATTTCCAAATCGAGTATTTGAAATGTTGTTAATTCCCAAATCGAGTATTTCCTTATAAAAGTCATGCAGTCTTAAATCCCAAGACCGAGAGTATGTGTATTTTGTACTTATAACGTGTTTGTAATTGTAATGTGTACCCAAGAAAATCCAATATTTAGAATGAACATGAAGAACACGAACGTGGCCAGTAACGACTTTGTCTCTAACAAAGTGAATGTCAATCTCCATATGTTTAGTCTGTTGGTGGGGTTAGCAGACATAAACACAATCACATTATCACAATACACAATAGTAGCACGTTGTGGAGAATAGTGTAACTCAAGAAGTACGTTGCGGATCCAACAAGTTTCTGCAACAGCATTTGCGACCCCGCAATATTCAGTCTCGGCACTGGAGTGAGATGCAGTATTCTGACGTTTGGATGACCAGGATAGGAGGTTGTGTCCCAACAAAACACAGTAACCAGACATAGAGCGTCTGGTGACCGGGCAGCCAACCCAGTCAGCAATAATGTCACGATATGGAGAACTGAAGATCTTAATACCAGGATCTGAGGTCTCACAAATGTAATGTAAGATGCGTTTAAGAGCTGTGAAATAAGGCTCATGGGGATCATGCATGTATAGACAGATATGCTGAATTGCATAGGTATTGTCTGGGCAAGTAAACGTGAAATACTGAAGTGCTCCCACAAGACTACGATATAATGTGAGGTCTTAACAGATCCATTGGAGTTAAAGCCGGTTTGCAGTTGGTCATAGAGGCACGATCAAGAATTTCATTTGCATATTTTTTTTGAGACAAAAAAAGGCCATCTGTAGTTCTGGTAGCGGAGACACCCAAGAAGTAATGAAGATCTCCAAGACCAGTCATAGCAAACTCAGTAGCTAAAACTGACGTAATGGTGGACATAAGTGGAGGAGACGAGTCTATAAGGATAATACCATCCACATATAATAACAAGTATGCAACATGAGATCCCTGCCTATAAATAAATAAAGAAGAATCACACTTGTTAGTAAAACCAAGGCTAGTAATAAACATAGTGAACCGCTGAAACCATGCATGTGGAGCTTGCTTAGACCATATATGGATTTCTAAAGAAGACAGACATGATCCGGCCTGGAATGATCCTGAAAGCCAGGTGGCTGCTACATGTAAACCGTCTCCTATAAATGACAATGAAGAAAAACATTCTTCACATCAAGTTAACGAATTGGCCACTTATGAGTGACCATGAGAACAGTGTGAATGGTGGTTGGTTTGATAACCGGGCTGAAAGTTTTGTCGCAGTCAATGTCAGGTCTCTGGATTCTACCATTAGCAACAAGTCGTGCTTTATAGCGAGACAAAGATCCATCTGCATTAAGTTTCTTTTTAAAGAGCCAAATGCAATTAATAACATTGGCACGTTATGGTCGTGGAACCAAAATCCATGTGTTGTTTGAGATAAGAGCTGAATATTTCTCTTGCATTGATTTTAGTCGGTTGGAATCTTTAAATGCCTGCAATTAAGTGCAAGGCAGAGGAGATGAGGATTCGACATCCCAAACAAACCCGCCTATCGCATGAACTCGAAAGAATTTGAAAAGTTACAGCGACAAGTCAACAAACTACTTGAAAAAAGGCTTAATACGTGAGAGTATGAGTATGTGTTCTGTTCCAGCTTTGCTAGTTCTGAAACAGGGAGGCACTTTTCGTATGTGCATTGATATTTGAGTTGTCAATAAAATAACTATTAAATATTGATTCCCTATCCCTCGTTTCGATGACTTGATCGGTCAATTGCATAGCTCAACAGTTTTCTCCAAGACCGATTACGAAGCGGATATCAACAGATTCACATGCGACCCGATGATGAGTAGAAAACCGCTTTTAAGACACGTGACAGATTATACGAGTGTTTGGTAATGCCCTTTGGCTTATCAAACGCACCAAGCAAGTTTATGTGCATGATGAACCATGTTTTAAACCCTTTATAAGACGTTTTGTTGTTATTTATTTCGATGACATATTGATTTTTATACGGAACAACATGTAACACACCTTCGACAGGTTTTTACGGTCTCGAAGGAACAGAAATTGTATGCTAACGGAAAGATGTGCTATTTTCTTACTAACGGGGTTATCTTTCTTGGTTATTTTGTTTCGGGCGATGGAATAAGGATGGACGAATCGAAGGTTGATGTAACATCCCAAAAATCGTGCGAATATTTGGGATTATAAAATTAGCATATAAAACGAAATAATGAATGTAAAATGTAAAATTTGCATATAAAACGAAATAATGAATGTAAAATGTATACATGTGGAAAGTATGTAGAAATGAATGTATAATAAAAATTGAATCGAGTTATGTATGAAACTCAGTATAAGCAAAAAGTAAACTACAATGTAAAAATATATGAAATATGGAAAATTCAAAAATACAAAGTTCTCTACTTTGGAACCGTATAAAATAAATTACAGGATGATCGGTTACGAGTTGCAAGTTGTAGTGTAAAGAGGGGATTACAAAGTATGTAACCCAAAAAGAATTTTCCAAAACCGAAGTCTTAGTAATTAGATATTAGTACTCAAAGTTTCAAGAAAAATATGGTAAAAATGAACAATTAGAATATTTCTAAGTATAAAATGTAAATTGTAAAATGCTAAAGTTTCGGGCTAAATAACTATGACGATATATGATCAATTGAAATGATACTTGAACTTAACATGAAGTTAAGATGAAGAAGAAAAGATAGAAACAAGAATCAAGTAGATTGAAGTTTGTACGAAGAAGATACCACCGTGAACGCGAGAAGTTGATAAAAAGTTAAATTTGTTAAGAAAATGTTGATAACTAAAACTGAGTTTAAAACCGAACCAGATACGAGATGATGGATTTTAAAAGTTTACATTCATCTATAATAGCTAAAGAATAGTTCCGAATGGCCGGAAACGTTCTCGGAATAACCGGGAGTAAAATCGTTATTTTTAGAAAATAACAACATTAGTTAATATGCCAAGTTTGAAGGCTTGGAAGACTTACTTCCCGACATCCAAATTGAGCAAACAATATATCATTTGAAAGATATCATGACATACTAAATAACGCAAAAAGAGTCGGGTAAAACGGAGTTCGTATGAAGATGTTACAGACGTTTGAAGTTGACCGAAAAACAGGAAAAAAACACAACACTGACGGCAGCCGACCACCGACCACTCCGCCGGCGAGTGGCGGCGCGTGGACGGTTCCAAAACGTTTCCAGCTCAATTTCCTTCGAGAAGGGATAGGTGGGGCCCACTTGAATCATCGAATAATTGCGTCAAACTGCACCGAACAAGTGCATGGACAATTATTGAAAACTTTGAAGATTATATAGAAATGAATTCTGAAGAAATTCTTGCGTAGCTTGAGTTCCGGTCACCCAACATTTCTTAGGAACAAATACCTTACCCACCATACACCTTCCTAAATAAATATATACAGTATAATACAACCATATACGCATATAAATATGAAGGTCAATCGAGGTGCAGATAGCGGAGTTTCTTCATAAATACTTATAGAGTAAGTAATACTTAGATTATTTTGCATTAAAGCAATTTATCAGTATTATATATAATAACGGATACAATCCAAGACAATCGTGGATCGTATACCGAAATGACCTGGTATTAAAAATATAAGTCCCTATATTGTTGTCACGTGATTTGGTGAAAGCACTCAAATCCGACAATATTAATGACAAAATACTTGTATATTTTATGGAACTCTTGAAATATTTATAAATGACACTAAAAATTTATACAGGGTGTCATTAGGATAAATAAAAGAAATATGGGTTTAAACATTATATGAAATTTAATACGAATATTTTACCGATAATTGTTAGGAAAGCAACCAAAATAGCGAACAACTAGCTGGGAATTTTGTAGTTAGTTAACCTAACTACCAAGGTGAGTACTTGACGACTTTTTTCCCGTTTGGAATATATGGCAGTTGTATTTGAATAAAAATAAGTTTTCAAGGTTATTTGAGTATTTTGTATATAATACATGATTTAATAGATATTTTTATTATAATTATTATAAAAATGAGATAGGGAAAAACAATTATAACTTTTATATAAAAATTTATATAAAAGTGCATCATGGCAATTGTGTGTTTGAGAAGTCAAAAGAAAAGTAGTGCCCATGCATACATTGAATGTGACTGCATAAAAGTTGAGTACAGGTCCAGAAATGGGATTAAGACTCTACTGGGGTGGTACCTCCCTTCGCGAAGTAGATGTCTTTTGCTATTATAGGTTGATTTGTTCTTCCTATCTTGGGCAAATACCACGCTAGAGTGATATATCATGCTAGTGTGACAAAACGGAGTAAACTGTCAGTATATTGTTTTGTTGTATACATTTCATGCATAGCATTGCATGTATATAAATTAAACATATTTACAAATGAGAATATGAATATTATTGTGTCAAAAACTCAAGTAAGAAGAAGCTTCAGGTAAGAAATAAATACTAGTTACAAAATAAAAGTCTAAGGCCTCATGCATGTATATAAATTAAACATATTTACAAATGAGAATATGAATATTATTGTGTCAAAAACTCAAGTAAGAAGAAGCTTCAGGTAAGAAATAAATACTAGTTACAAAATAAAAGTCTAAGGCCTCATGTAAGATATTCAGCTCAACTATGGTTTTGTATTCAGTTTGTAAAACCCAAAAATATTGTAAGAATTATAAACACTTATGGACTTTTGTAAAATAAATTTTGTATACATGACTATTCGTTGTGTTTTTGTGACAAAAATAAGTTTGTAACAGTTTTATAAAGTTGGGGTGTTACAGTTGA